TTCGTCCTGCATATGGTTTCGTTCAGTGAGAATGTGTAGATTCGTTACTTTACTGATTGGCAGCAGATATTTCAAGCTCTTGCTCAGTTGTTTGAAATTTGAAACGTTTTTTGTGCTAATCATAACAATCACATGGTCATTTTTACCGTATTGACGTGAATGTTCAAACAGAGTTAAAACTAAATCTAAAACATTTATATTGTATCCCCACCAGTCACCAGTCAAAAACCTTAACCACCAATATTTTATCACTATTTATAATTCTTTTTAGACTTATTTTTCAGTAATTACTAATAATTTTAGGTCTATGTCTACAGTAATTGCATTATGCACCTCGGAGTTGTAGGGATTAACATGTTTTACACATATCGGTGTTTTAGGATGGGGACAAGCATACTGTTTTGATTGCTTTGAAGAAATTCATTAACCCATGAATTTATAACAAATGATTACTATTATGATGTAAAGAGAGATGAGGAATTGGTTGGAATACATTTTATATTCTATTTTCTTGCAAATCCGCACAATTCAACAGGTATGATCCAATGATCATATAATATACACACAGTATATTGAACTTAACAAATTTCGAGATTGCCATGAATTAACTAACGACCAAACCTGCTGCCAAATTTAACAGCTAGAAAATCGACCTATTATTTCTCCCATTCCCATTCGCTGAGGGGATAACGGATTGTTAAATGTAAACCTATAACATATATCAAAATACATGAAAGTTGTCCTGCTTTTTCTTTACAAAAGCATCATGTTGGAATCAAAAAGTGGTCTTGTTTATCATACAGTCGAATTTTCACGATTTTATTCAACATTTTAATAGAAATCACTGATATTCTGAGACATTTGACAGCTTCTGTCAAATTGCATTTCGATAAGGTATTTTCCTATTGGTCCAAAATAATAATGTTGGTGAAATCGGCCCTTAATTTGCTATTTTTGTCTATCTAGGGCACAGGTATGTCAACCATTTCATATGATCACGTCTAACAACCTTTAGGCAACATTATGAGATTATGAAAATGAGTGGAAGCCTAAACAGACACTGTGTTCACAGCTGCTTGATGACAGTGACTACGTTGGCGATGAGAGATAGAAGGAGTGACATCATCATAACATAAGTGAGAGCCCCTTTTCGTGCGGCATTCCCTCTATTATCCATATTCTCTGATAAACCCTGTACAAATCATTCTAGGGACGTTATAGTTATCCTTCTGCCTATAAAGCGTGAAACCAAATATGTACATACATGCGGCAACAATACAAGCCCGTGTGTCAGTCAGCGATCCGCCTTGCATTATCCATTCCCCAAGTCTCGTATTATATGGCGGGTTTTGGCTTTGCTGTGTGCTTACACCTTTCTTGCATATTAACGTGACGCAAATCAATATTGGACAGCCAACAGCTATGTCATATATCATGCATGTGTAAATATGGAAAATTTGTTATGCTACAGAGATTTGCTATCTACGATAGGAATACTTGATAGCCATTTATGTCATACATCTAACAAAACCCTACCAACTGTTCAAAAAAATGTTTCCATTAAAAGTGATTTCTAAGGTGGGGCCATAAGGCGACATCTTGTGGCTACATGAGAGTATCGATTTGTCTAACTAGGCTTTTTTGGAAACTTGACGACTCGTGTGTCGTGTCTACAATCAGTCACGTAGCAGAACCATTTAGGGATGGGGGAGAAAAAAACTCAACATTTTTGCCAGCTTCTACCAAAGATAACAGTTTCGTGTCTTATTATTGATAGTCTAACAAGAAGATAAATATGATTTTAAAAAGTATAAGAGTGAAAAACAAAAAGGCCATCACTGTATCTAAGTATCATAACCTGAGAACAATGTGTGGTACCTTTGGCCAAAATCCTTAATTTTATCTCAACGATCAATTTTTCTCAAAAAAAAAAATCATAACATGCCCTCTGATCAGTTCAGAATTATATTATTTTATTTGCCACATCTTCTGCCTCCTTAAATTTCGTTACTAGTTCAGAATGCCAACATCAAGACGGTAGTAATCTAAAAGACGTCACCATTATTAGGCAAATTCCTGTAGATTGACTTTATTGTGATTACGAATATTTTCTACGACTACCTTGTATTTGGATAATGACAGTAACAGTCAAACGTACTCAAAGGTCATGTTTTGGACATTTATCGGATGACATTTAAATAAGAGTTCTAGGAATATTCCGAGCGATCTTTGAGGAATCATCTCATACCAAGCAGCAAAGGAGGTATTTTAATTGGAGGTTGAAATACCTGAATTCATAAATAACAGTATATTAAATACTTTGAGATCTGAGCCTTTATATCCTAAGCCTGAGATACAAAGATGTCAATAAGAATCTTCTCAGACGAGGTATATATTTATTTCTTTATTCATTTATAAAATAATTTATTCACAAAGTATTCGATTCTACCTCAAGACCATGAAGTTATGTTATTTGGTAGGCTGTTGTCAAACTAACAAGCTAAAATTATTGAACGCAGCAGCCGGACAGAACCAGAGTTCTGGAAGTCAAATGTACAGCTTGTACTGCATCGCCCTTCTACGGCAGCTAGCGGTCTTGTCACTCACTATTAGACGCATTATAACTAAAATCCCGTTAACGTATGAAAAACCCATCTCAGAGAGCTCTTTGCTTTCGTGTCATACGTATTGACAAGCTGATATTTCAATGCTTCAAACGTGCTTCAAATTGAAAAAATTTCTAACTTCTATCTCTTCGATGGTGTGCTAGAAGGATGGCGTGTTAAAATATTAATCTACTACCATATCTAACTTAGTAATGATAAATAAATTATTTCCAGAATACTTCATACAAAAATAAACCTAGCTTTATCAGAGCATGGAATAGTCAAAATTTTATAGTATCGAATTCAAGAACATCAATATAATCCATCAACGGGTAGCGGCAACAGCAATCAGAAACTGAACAATTTGACAACTAAATTGTACCAGTGTACCAGATTAGGTTTGTGAAAGATATTTTTCTGTAGATGGGGAAGCATTATTGCAAAGGAAAGTGAAGACGCATCCTTTCTTGGTATCACTGAATCTTGTATTTGGTGTATATATATTTTCTTAACCAAAAGTATTTGAGAAGTATTTAACAAAAAGTCAGTGTTGCCAGATAATAAAAGTGCCTAATTGTCTAAGCAACAATAATAGAATGGTAAAAAAAATGAAACGCCAGTGCTTTCTCTGTTCAATAAGTAATCAGGACCATATACATATGTCTAATCTGTGTGTACTCATTTTTAAGTACTAATTTACTATTTTCTTCTTGCTGTCTCAGATCGTGCCAAAGAAACCTATTTGTTCAAAAAATAAAGTTTTGTTATCGGGTAGTAGAAGCGCTACATAGGGTGTGGGTAATGAATCAGAACAAACTTCAAGGGGTGGCTTTTTCAGTAATTAAAAGAAAAAAGTTTATGTAGATACGATCAGATGCCTTCCGCACTTAGACAGTTTATCTATAGCTGATCTGTAGTCTATGATTGGAACTAGTCCATTTTAAAGGAAAGCAAGGAGCAAATATTGCTGGAGTGTTCTCATTCGGTTAATATTGAAAGCCATTTTCCAGCATTATGCCGATTGGCGAAGTACTCATAAAATATGCTAACATTACTCAATTTCAGTCGTTTTTGAATACTTTGAAATAAGTCATTAATAAACTGTTATAAGGCAATTGACAAAATAAGTGAATAACCGAGGTGACTTTTTATTATCATTAATCAGAGACAACTTACTTCTGATTGGGGGATCACAATCTGTAATGATGGTTTCTCAAGTCATTAGCGGAAAAAGTAATTGCTTCGTCTATACGTTAATAGGTGCAATTTGTCATGCATTACCAATTCTCCGTCATGCTTCGCTTTTTGCGATGCAAATTTCTTGCATCCTGACGAAACACAAATCTATATTTAACATTCATCAGCAGTTTCATGTCTCTAAAAGCACAGCGGGCTTAAATAACGACAACAGCAGAAACAGGCTCTTCAATAGCCCTTTATGACTACAGACGTATATCGGAAGTAACTTAAATAAGGGCGCTGAATTGGTTCCGAATTTACTTCGGGAAATCGTCATACAGCTAGAGAGACAACTGAAAATTTTGTCAGTATATGTTAGCAATACGTAATGCTTATCTATATTATAAAAAGTGACTTAAAAGTTAAGTCATTTCATCAATAGTCGCGTTCATCAGATAGTAGCGCTTCTCTGAAGTGACTACGATTATAGTATTCGATTCTATTTTCATAAATGTACTCAGTGACATTAGAAGTGTTACACCCAGAAAAAATAATTTCTTCTACTTGATTGTTTGGCGATGAGGTAGTATTATATCAAGAATAAAACCACAACATTCTCACAAAATTTTATTGACAAGTATTAAAAAAAAACAATGTGTTGGGTGACATCGCAGCTGAACACACCCCTGTATACGTCTAGACATTGACAACATGAGATGATCGATGTCTGGTTGTGGCATCTCATTCCAAGCAACTCGAACGTCGTGGGTTAGCTGTGGCAGAGTCGGTGCAAAGTGGATAGTCTCCTATCCATCATTTCCCAGGCATGTTCGATGGGATTTGAATCCTGTGAACGGGGTGGCTACGGCAAGACATTAGCGCCTGCTCCTTCGTAGTACGATGAGCAATATGGGAACGTGCGTTGTTTTGCTGACAAAGGGCGTGTAGACGGCTCTCTAGATACGGCAGTAAAGTGGTTTGTAGGACATCATCAGCATAACGCGCAGCAGTCATATTGCCTTGAACAAAAATAAGGGGTGATCGGCCACCATAGGTAATAGTCTCCCAGGCCCTTACTCCAACAGTCTTGTGTACATGCTTATCAACAGCAAATCGAATATGACGCCGTTCTCCATGGCGGCGTCTTAACTTTCTACGACTATCATGCGTACCTAGACGGAATCGCAATTCGTCGCTGAAGATGACATTATATACCCTCTCCACACTCCCGCGCGGATCACGGCGTGAAATCGCGGCGCGAATCGCGGTGCGAAACCCGAAAAGTGTTCTACAGTTCCACACTCGCAGATGTTCGCGCCTGCTTCACAGTATAGTTCGCGCTTGAGACGAGTATGGACGGTGAAATTGCTACTGCTGCTGCTGGGCTACTTTGCGCTTTGGCAATTTATAATTACGCCGATATAAGTAAAAGAAAAACAATTAAAAAGAAGTGAAGAAAACGAAGATGGTGGATCACCACCATCCACCGAAATAGAACCAGGTAATTAATATCGAGATAATAATGGTCGCACGCAGCTCAGTGTCTTATATTTACTGCCATCGCAGATACTAAAAAACAAGTATTTCACTTTTAGCTGTATAAAATGACAGTTGTGATGAAGGCTTGAAAAGTGAAATATTCTGCTCATGCTGCACTCACTTATCATGTACTACAGGGGCTGATACTCGATAACTTGACCTCTACCTTATTTTTAGTCTTTGCTTTTTGTTACAGTGCTGTTATGGAAAAGCAAATAGATGAATTAGTTGCTGAACCTTCCGGTGAATTTAAAAAGTTTTCCCGGATGTCGTTAAATGATTTTGAATACTTACTAAATCAAATTTCATCCCAAATTTCAAAACAAGACACCCAATTAAGAAAAGCTATTCCTGCCCAGATACGTCTTGCTATAACATTGCGATACTTAGCCACAGGAGATAGCTATGAAAGCCTTCATTTTTTGTTCAAAATATCACCACAAATAATATCAGAAATTATTCCAGAAGTTTGTCTAGCCCTATGTCAGGCATTGAAGGATGAAATAAGAGTAAGTATGGAAGAAAATATTTTTTTAATGAAAATTTGTTTAAGTATATTGAAAACACACGTATGTAATACAATAATCTTAAATCTAACACGACTGGTTATATCTAAAAATATGTGAGTACCGAATACCAGTGGCTAATATAAATATAACATATGCATCTGACATCAGATCAAAAATATAAATTGATATCAAGATACGGGCAAATTTAGCCGTACATTCAATGTTTTTCATGTGATTTAAGTCAAGTCGAATGCTGTTTGGATTATATCAATTGCCTGATTAGATTCTGGGTTATCGGTGACTTGGTTCGGAATATGGAGGACAGGATAGTCAACATGAGGTGTGCGAATCACCTGGTTGGATTGAATCATAATCTTAGGAGGTGGGGCTGATACTGCTTTTCTATTTTGACAATAAGTTTGTTGAGTCACCTGCTCATAACGATTGGTAGGCTCTGAATACGTAGATGATGACGTGCCAGGCCTTGATTCATTAAAGTTGTGGGCGATGCTGGGCTATGTTGGCGATGGAGTTTGCAGGGAGGGCGTCTCCTCCAATTGGTATCGTAGGTACATGCCGTCAATGTCGTGCATAAACTTTAATCTATTAATTTCAGATAGCTTTCGCAACTTATTTGCCAATAATTTGCCATATAAATCGCAATCATCGCTAAGATGGGTTGATGATTCATTTCTGTTTAGCACGGATTTGAATGTGGCAAGAGCATCTTTAACAATATTTCCAGCATGAATCAGCTCCGAAGGGTTTTGGCGTCGGCGGATTGTCTGATTGCCGTCTCTTTGGGTGTCCATAGACTGACTTTGATTTTCATTCGTCTCTTCAAGTATCTCTTCAGTTGGTTCGGAATTTGCTCCTTGAGTCTCCTCCAACCCGCGTTCCTAAAAAAAAAACATACAATTTCATGAAGGTTATATATATATACATATATATATATATATTGAAGAGTTTCTATCACTTTGTGGTGTCAGACGAAGGTTTTATGTTTTCTTTTGTGCAGATACCGTCTTGTCCGGAAGAATGGCTTTGTATTGAGAAAGGATTTGCAAGGAAGTTTCCTCGAGCAATAGGATCAATAGATGGCAAACATATTGTTCTCGACTGTCCGTTCAATTCTGGCTCTAAATACTATAATTATAAAAGAACCTACAGTATAGTATTATTGGCATTAGTTGATAGTCAGTACAACTTCATATTTGCTGACATTGGCTGCCAAGGCAGAATAAGTGACGGTGGAGTTTTCACCAATACTTTGTTATGGAACAAGATATGCACGAATAGCTTAAATTTACCACCGCCGCATCCTTTGCCCGGTTCAAATATTGATGTTCCCTACATTTTTTTGGGAGATGGAGCCTTTGCACTTTCAGAACACTTAATGAAGCCCTATCCTGGTCAGCACAACATAGGATCAGAAAAACGTGAATTTAACAAGAGATTATCTTCAGCTCGAGTGGTGGTGGAAAATACTTTTGGTATGATGACTGCCCGATTTAAAGTGTTTAGAAAGCCGATTCCATTACAACCAGAAAAAGCTACCCTTATAACAATGACTTGTATATTACTACATAATTTCTTGAGACGAAGCTCCACTTCTTCGTGTATCTATACACCACCCGGATTTATTGACATTTATGATGATGATTCAGTACTTATACAACCTGGATCATGGAGGAAAGAACAAGAAAAAACTTGTGCTATCCGTAACTTGAGGAACGTAGATCGGCGATCACCAAAAGATGCCACAGAAATAAGAAACGAATTCACCAAATATCTAAGTAATGTTTAAGTACTTTATTAATAAAACATACTACTACATACTAAAACTTACCGTGTCAACATTATTTTTACACTTGAGGGTACCTCCCAAAAACTCATCCATAGTTTCATAAGCGAACCAAATAGGCTGATATATATCATCGGCACCAGCTCCCGATTGAATAGACTTTTTGACTTTGTTCTTATAACTCCTATAACTTGACATCAAAAAATCTTTTTTCTTTCTCAATTCAACCAATGGGATTTCCATCACTGAGCTTATCCGCATCCATGCATCATGAGTTTTAAATTTATTCCTATAGTCTTTTATCTTAGTGTCCCACAGTACCGGTTCAGCACGAAAATATTCCAAAAATGATAGTTCCAATTGGTTACTCCAGTTAAAACTCATTTTTCACGACAAATCGAAAATTCGTATCCGTAAAGAAAAACACAACCACTGCCGTCACTCGCTATGAGGCAACTGAGCCACCAGCGAATGAGGAGCCTAGTCATGTTCGCGCCTTGCGAACCCTTTGTCGCGGGACGAAAAACCGACAGCAAACGGGAACGACGCGCGAACGCGACGTGAAGCCGCGAAGAATACGCGAATGGGTTCCACACTCATGGGTCGCAGGTAGTTCGCGCGCGATCCGCGCGGGAGTCTGGCGAGGGTAATACGATTCTGCCTCCCAGTGTAGCCGTTCTCTGCTCAATTTCAAACGTTGATGTCAGTGGTCCGCACTCAAGAGAAAGCACTAACCGTGGACGGTAAGAGAGAAGTTCGAAGGCTCGAATGCGGCGATAGTAACGCATAATAAGAGGTCTACCTCCTCCAAACGATTGGTCAGCGATCTGACGCGTAGTAGCACAACGATCTCGTAGGGGTAGTTGTCTGAAGCTCCTATCTTGACGCTCTGTGGTATGCCTCGGTGGACCAGTTGGTCTTCTTTGCGTTTCTCTACATTCTTCTATCCACACACGCATTACCATGCAATGACGGTAATGCAGTATAATTAACATTAACTAATATATCGATAGGCAATAATTCGAGCCTTAACAGGGTCGCTAACATGGTGATAATTAGGACGTCTTGGAACTCGAGGCATTTTGTAATGCTCAACACTAGTAAACTAAAAATATATATCCTACTCAGCTCTCAAAAACTGCTGCTTTCTTCACAAAAATTAAGAGGTAACATTTAAAAAAAAGTAAACAAAAACAATAATAAAACGTCGACATTGTTGCCACAGTATGCTTTAAATATAGTCATTATGTTGCCGAAAAACAAGTTGAAGAAATTATTTTTTTTCTGGGTGTAACACTTCTGTCACTGAGTATATTTTATAGAGGTTCCTAGGTTTGGTACATGCACTATTTGAATAACTCTCGAACTACCCATCTGGTCTCGAGATTCATTAGCTAATTCTGTGGACAGCTTTCATTGATTTCCTTCCATTTTGCAATTTATAACCGACTGATCTAACAATGCAGTGACATCAAGGTATCCTCTATATAATGCAAGTAACTCTCATACTTGAAAAGTTTAGAATCCTTTATTTAAAAAGTCGTTTTCATTGCCGATTCTAGACACTTTCGGGAAAACTTTTGTAACAAAGGACTTCGACTGGCATATGGACTATTGGTAAGCCGCAAAAAAGAAGTCCTCTGATATCTGGACCTAATTTAACATGCTTGGTTTCCGCAAGTAGGAGGAAAGTGTTCTGAATATCATCCCACATCGGGTAATAAGAAACCATGTCGACGATACCGCTTGTTGAGAACAACTATGCGTGTCTGGTTCTCGCGAACTAGAGCGTCTCGCTGGAAAAGGAAGCCGCTTGATGCCTTCAGAACCTGTCTGATTTCTCAAGAGACTCCTACTGCGTCAAAATGCTCATCGTTCGTATTCGCAATACTCCAGTGTGCAGGCTCGCATTGATTATATTTATATGTAAGGTGGGATATTTCCTTCCAGATATTTGCTTCTCCACACCTTTGTGCAAGCATACATATATCGTTCTTCTAAAAGAATAGCATCTTTCCCTGTCAGTATCAGTATCAATTCTTCTACAAAAAAATTTCCACACAATTATTTTATTCATTATTGAATCATTAGACACTGATGACTTTCAATGGTCACACATCAATAAGTATAATAAGTTCATAAAACAGGTATAAACTAAAAATACAATACAATAATATCTGGATGAGCACTTAACCGTGCATAGAATTTTGATGTGAAAGAAAACTGGTTGAGGCTCGATTTCACCATCGTTAATCAGTCTGGACCAATAGGAAAAGATCCTATTGAAATGCAATTTGACGGAAGCCGTCAAAGCTCTCAGAATATCAGTGATTTCTATTGAGATATTGAATAAAATCGTGAAAAAGCGATTAAATTATAAACCAGACCACTTTTTGATTCCAACATGATGCTTTTGTACAGAGAAAACAGGGCAACTTTCATGTATTTTGCTAGTTTTTATCAATTTACAAATAATAGGTCGATTATCTCTTTAGCCAATGGGAATGCGGCAAATAATAGGCCGATTTTCCAGCTATTAAATTTAGCAGAAGATTTGGACGTTAGTTAATGTATGGCACTCTCGAATTTGTCAAGTTCAATATACTGAGTGTTTACATGGTATCATTATAGCTACATACCTGTTGAATAGTGTGGATTTGTCTGTATTTTGCAAGAAAATAGAATATAAAATACATTCCAACCAATTCCTAATCTTCCTTTACATCATACTGGTAATCATTTATTAATTTGTGGTTTAATAAATTTCTTCAAAGCAATAAAAGCATTGTCCTCTTCATCCTAAAACACAGATAATATGTGTAAGACGTGTCAATTCCTACATCTCCGTGAGGCATAATGCAAATACTATGGACATAGACAAAACATCATGATAAAAGTCTCGCAAATAATGTCTTTTAAGTCCAAAAATCATAAAAACTATAATAATGTTTATTGTTTGATTGCCTTTCCAACTGGTGACTGGCGGGGATATCTATCTGTCACTCGCAGGGTGAATCTTTTACATTTGCTTGTTTTGAATTTAAAGTAGGAAAACCAACATAGTACTTATGATAGTTGGAGCTGGACTGATAACACTTCTTGAAGAATATTTGAAACGTGTGAACACCATCATTGTCTGTTGTCAAGTTGCAAATTGCAAAAATGTGAAAATTCTTACATACAGTGGACCTTCGTCATAGTTTACTATCCTGATTATGATCATCTTTGGCAGATGTGTTGTATCATCAAATTGATGAACAAATATAAGAAAGCTCTCATATACCTACAAACAACGGATTTTTCATGAAAATTTACTAGGTATCATGATTATAAGCATGTTTGATTGTTCGATTCGGAATGGGAAAGATCTCCTATTTATGAAAATATTTTTGGTATCATCTAACCGTTGCAATCAGTGAACAAAAACTGTGACATATGATTTATAGCATAACCCGCTACCCTATCAACACAAATTTAACATACAGGTCGCCTAGTCGTGAAGACGCAGTGGTCGGGATGAATATCACGCCAGCAACTGATGATTTTGGCATGTCTGGTAACAACGTATGAAGTGAAACTCGCTAACTTCACAAATTAGAAGATTTTGTGTAATTTCTTGGAAAATGATGAAAGATATGTCTGTTTCGGCAAGGTAATGTCGCAGCCAAATGGCAGTCGGTCTTTCTGGACGCTGGCCAAGCAGATTGAAAAGAACTTGTCACACAGTAGCCTTCCACTACTTATCAGGATGAAACGATTGTAACTGACTCGAAGGCCAAGGCTGAAGTGCTTGCCAAGATCTTTGCTGCCAACTTCACCATGGACGCCCCCAAACAAAGCTTCTGCTCCGGACTTGATTGTACTGAAGAGGTGTGCAGAGGAGCTTGCTCCAGTTCTTTCGCGTCTCTTCCAGATATCTTATGAATCCAGAAAACTGAAAATTTTCTCATGTCCAACCCATCCCAAAAACAGGATCTGAAACAGACCCTTACAACTACAGGCCTATAGCTCTGCTTTCTGTTATAAGTAAGGTGATGAGAGGTGCATACATCGTGACCTTCTGGACTACCTCGAACGTCTCGGCTTGATTAGCGACAGGCAATATGGTTTCCGACACCAGCAATCCACATGAGACCTCCTAGCTTCCGTCACGCAATTGTGAAGTATGCTAATCTAGTATTACGGTGAGGCTTATGTCGTTGGCCTTGATATCACGAATGCGCTCGATCAGCTGTGGCACGCTGACCTCTTATGCAAACTTCCATCCCATGACCTCCCAGAAAGGCTTTGCAGATAGGTTGTTGACTTTCTCTCTGGCCGCAAGGTATCCGTCGTGATTGATGGGATCTCCTCTTCATCCCGCAAGGTCAACGCGGGCGTTCCCAAGGGATTGGCCTTGGCTCCGACACGGTTCTTCTTGCATATCAACGACGTCCTTTCCTGTACGATCAACCCAATCTACAGCTTCGCTGATGACAGGAATTGAGAGTGACAAGGCGATCTCGGCAGCTGAGCTGGAAAAAAGAAGATTAGCGACGACTTCCTCTCTGACGAGAGACCAAAACACAGTACTGTACCATGACGAACAAAAAGCGTTCTAGCGCTCATACGGTTCCGATGGATGGTTATGCCAAAGAGCCGTTTATTTAGGCTGGTCGTAGTCCAGAGCACCGAGGACTTGATTTGGCACGAACACATCTTGTCAGTAGCGGCCGCTGCTGGGAAAAAGCTAGGCTATTTGTTTCAGGCTAAGAAGTAGTTCCGCATGGCGTTCTCACTCTATACAAGGCCTAGCCTCGAGTATTGCTCACACGTTTAGGGTTTCGTCGCCCCGACTATATTAACTATGCTCGATGTTGTCCAGAGAAGGGCTGTCCGACTGATCGATGACTCTTCTCCAACAAACAGTCTCGGGACCCTTTCACACCGGCGGCCGTCGGCGATCAAGTTCTCTTCTACCGCTACACCAACGGGCTTTGCTCCTCAGAGTTATCTTCCATGATGTTGCCGCGCGATGTACCTGCCATACAGACCCGGTTGCTTCGGTACAAAAAAAAATGACTACAGTAAAAGCTTCCTACTTCCATTGCATGTTGGCTGGGGAGATTGCGCAGCATAATCACTAGTTGCGTTCGGCACTTTAAGTTGAAAAAAGGCGAACTTTAATGGAATTACCGATGTAGCCAAAAATGTTGCTGGAAATCGCCAGCGACAAGTGAAGAAAAAAGTCGCTAAAGAATACAGAAAATTGCTAAGTCTGGCAACAGTGTTGTTTTGTCCAGATGACGTCTCTCAGTCGCGACTAGGATAATCACTATCATTTTATTCATACTGATCGGTGCATGAAAATAACTGAATGACTCAGCACACTGCAAGTGGGGAAAGTGATTTTTATCAGGTACCAAACGGAACTAAGGAAATAGGAATTCCATCTGACACGCATGAAACATCTGTCGAAATCAGGTTTAAGTGTTGCATGAAAATGTTTTATTGATATCGATGAATTTCTAGAACATCCAAAGGTTTGAAAAATCTTTGAAAGATTTGAAAATCTCCAAAAAATATATAAACATATCCAACAGTCAAGCGAGTCAAAAATCTTTCGGAAGGAAGTATCGAGAACCACAGGCTCCAGAGGCGCGGGGAAAAGT